ACTGTTGCTTTAGGAGCTCAGAGCCCAGCCACGGAAGGCGGGGAACCTTGGCTTCCTCCATCACTGGAGCAAGCAAGTCTCATGTTCGCTTCAGCTGCGTGACTTCCAGCCACCATCTTGGTTGGCAGTTAATTTGCATATTGTCCTGATTAGCCAATGTGAAGTGTATCGGAGGTACTGTTAATTACCCTATTTGTCTATTATTAGATAGGATAGACATCAAGGGGTATTTTGGAGAAAAGGATAGCCAGAATACCTTGAGAAAGAGATGAAAACGGGTTGGATAATAGGCTGTATGTGTACCTGGGGATTGGACAGACTTTTTAAGGGGAAATTGGAGTTCCTAGAAAAGGGCTGCTTTATTTGATGTTTTATTTTGGCATTTTCTGGCCCTGGATTATGAGATATTTCTGCAATGTTTACACTGTTGTTTTTTCCACCAGTGAGACATATATAGCATATTTATGAATGCCTTTTTTGATTCTATAATTAGAATCATTCTCCTTTTCCATTATAAATTTTGTTTTTCCTCTCTTATATATAGTAGAATCTTGAATTTCATGATTCTGCACCCTAAAGCATCTGACTCAACAAACAACTCCAGTCAATTCAGGCCATGTCATTTACCAGCTAAATGATCTCAGCAAGAAGCATCTTATCAGAATCCTTGTTTCTCTCTGTGTAAATAAAATAAGGCTACATTATGTATCTCATTTTACCTTTTTTATTTTTTACAAAGTAATATTACTGGATGTGACAGGAAATTAAAAGCAACTTTTTTTCTTTTCTTTCTTTCTTTCTTTTTTTAGCTTAACTCTGCGGTCATTTGTCTTTTATAAACCGTAAAGCTGTATACAAGGGACACTATACAGGTATGTGACTCATTGTACATGACCTCTGTTTTTGGATTTTAGAGTTGGTGAGTACCTTTAATCCCATACCCTGTAAAAATGATTAGACTGCATGAAATACTTTTTCCTTAGAATTAACTTATTAATTCCAATGCCCTTAACATTATATTAATTCCATGGACATATACACACTCAAGAAATATAGAATGGTAAAATTATAGTACTTTATGATTTTTTAGAATTGTGTAATTGGGCATCTTTTTCAAATAACTAAATATAACTAAAAATATCTCAATGAAATGTCAGGTTAAACAATTTATTCAATTATTGGTATATATATATAAAGTTTTATTTAAAGATATAT